TATATATATATATATATATATATATATATATATATATATATATATATATATATCAATATAGAATATCAAAATATTTTATGAAAAATATAAGTTAAATAAAATATCTTACTCATCTTAGAGGCTAAACGTTCCTTTTGAGCTTTATATTAAAATTTTATTTCTGTAATTTTTTTCTAAATAGCATTTTACCAGCTTTCCAAAATTACCGAATAATTTACCGTAATTTACCGAATAAAGTTAGCGTCAGACTGGGTGATTTCCACTTCTACCCACAACAGAATAGGATTCTACAAACAACGAAAATCGATTCTAAAACAGATATTTACGTGTCGGGACTCTGGTCGGTGTCGGATTCCTCCAGCTCAGCTTTATTCCGCTTCTTCTCGTAAATTAAGATGATGGCGCACAGAACGACGACCTCCGCGCAAATGCCTAAAAAGGGCCAGAGCGCGGCGAGCTTGTCCTTGACCCTGAGGAATGTCTCGGCCTCCGACGAGTGTTCCGGAACGGGATCGGACCAGTTGTACGACACTCTGCAGATAATGTTACCGCGATCGTTCATCTCGATACTGTCGACAATTAGGATGGCGCCGTTGATACCCCTCTCCACGTCCCTGACGATCTTAACGCGGTCTTTGCTGCGCGTGTAATTTTGATCGCCAAAAGTCCATAATATCTTTATGCCGGGACTCTGCTTCCCGCCGCATACCAAATGCAGCTTCTCGCCCTCCACTACACTGGTAGATTCCGCCAAATGTGCGATTGGCCTCGCTAAAATTTTAGAACACCGAATATATAAAGAGATAGAGACCATGTGTCTTTTTCAACGCGCTAATCTTCTTTCCCGATTTTTTTCTTTTCTTCTAAAAACCCTTCCAATAGGAAATAGATAAAGATATATATAACGCGTGATCAGATGCGTATATCTGACAAGAGACTATATCTCGATTTGTTAGTGGAAATTCTTGAAATCAGTAAAAATTAGCAGCATTAAATATAAATTAAAGAAGAAAGCAAAACCGTATTTTCAGCACTGAATTATCGATGACTTATACAGTCAATTGCATTTAGATAAACATTTATATCCAATTCAGTCCCAACCAGTAGATCCACATATTTTGAAAGAAATAAAAACAAATAAAATAAAGAAAAAATAAACAATTGTGAGTACTGAAATTATTTATATATATATAAATTATTTATATATATATATATATATATATATATATATATATATATATTTAATATTTATAAATGATAAAAATAAATAAATAATAAAAAAAAACAAAATGTGTGGCACAAGCTCCTTTGTATCCCCAAAAATATAATTCCAAATTTCTTGGAACCTATGACCTATACAGTCCTGCTTTTTTCTTTGATTTACTTTTTTATATTTCAATCTTGATCGATTTCAAGGATTTTCACTAACCTGTCGTACAAACCGAGATGGCTCCTTATGAAACGAGTGTGTTGTCATTAGACGTAATTATGCAAAATCAAAGTAGAATAGTTGCGCTCGAGTACTCACGTACGACTCTGTACTCCGTTGTGGAATTGGATACTTTGCAAGTGTAATTTCCATAAACCTCCTCGACGTCTTTCAAAATTTCCAAAGTGCCGGTCTCGTTATCAATCTTGAGGATATCTTCATTGCCGCCTAATGTCGTAATTACCGGTGTCTTCTCCTTCAGCCATTGCGTTCTATCACCGGCGCTTCTGTTTGTGCATTCGAGCACCAAAGGTATGTCCTTGGGCGTAAGTACTTTAATCTTAATATCTGCATCAAACAAGATGTTGTGTCTTTCGGCGCTGCATGCTATAAATATCGTCGCTCGCGAACAAATCGTCAAGACGAATGTGCGTGCATACACTTTCTTTCTGTTTAATAATTTACTTGCAATCGTGAGTGAAACGACCGTGAGGATTTTCGAAACATGCGTGCGTTCTTTTGCGTTGCTTGAAAGTTTTGCGTGCGATTAAAATTCCCGTCTTATGACACGAAAGGATTTGTTTGCAACCTAATCCACTGAACGCTCGAGCATTTTATAATGCAGGAGTGACGGCGGCAACTATTGCAGCTATACTTAGAACGTCGTCCCAAATATTCTGTAATAATATCTAAGAATCACGGCAACACACCGAAGACACACGGAGGCAATTCGATCTGCTGCTGCTGCTGCTGAATAAGTTCATTGACATCCACGCAAATTTCCCGCGCGTCATTTCGTTAAATTATGAAATATTTGCGCAGTCCACTGATTTTTCAGCACGAGTATTGTACATTGAGCACGTCTCGTTTATCAGAAGATAAATGAGATATACCTCGTGCTGTCTCATGACGTAAAAATATCACACAAGACATCGATTATCTCGGCCGATTAGATACGCCCGAGTCGCAATTAATTTCTTGATTAATTATCAATTTTTACGTTCCACAAATTTGCTTATTAGAAGTTGGAACAACATTCGAGCTTTCTCTTTCATATTTTGGTAAAGATTTAGTGAAGTTTCATATTTTAGTAAAAATAAAATTATACTACTGTGTCCAAAAAGTAAGACCAATTTAAAATTTTTTTTTAAATCTTTATTTATTATTCCAAATCTATTTCGTCGCCTTCAAAGTAATCCCCCTCAGACACAATACACTTATGCCAACGTTTTTTCCAACCCCCGAAACAGTTGTTAAAGTCGATTTCCGGAATGGCCTTCAATGCTTTCTTCAATTCAGCTTGTATCTCTTCAATCGAGTCAAAACGGTGTTCTCGGAGCGGTTTTTTGAGTTTAGGAAATAGCCAGAAGTCACACGGTGCTAAATCAGGTAAATATGGTGGTTGTGGAACGATATGGGTCGAATTTTTAGCGAAATGGTCTCGAAGAATGCAGTGTGAGATGACGCATTATGCAAAAACCAAGAGTTGCCTTTCCATAATTCCGGCCTCTTTTTGCGAATAGCTTCACGCAAACGACGCATAATTTGACACAGATGTCTGTCACAGTGCTACCAATTTAGAAAAAAAAAATTTCTGACATTCGATATACCCGCGCAATTTAACTTGAAAATTGGTCTTACTTTTTGGACACAGTAGTATATGATATATCTAATATCTGGAGAGAGGAAATTAGTAATCACAAAAAAAGCATAATATTCACTGACTTAAAAGTGGCGACAATTTTTAGTATATTCATACTCTCTTAAAGTGAATCAATGAAACATCATTGAAAACAGTGAATGTACACTGATTTGCAGTTGAGTATAGCACTGAAACTGCTCAGTGCTATATTTATAACTGATATCAGTGACTATTTACTGATTCACTCACTTTAAGGCTCCTGTTCTCTCGCATTGTCTATCTCTTTTTTAATGACGTTAGAAGCGAGAAAATGTATGCGAAATTCTTGCGAAATACGTTGAAATAAAAATATATATCCATAAAGTAACACTTGCAATCGATTAAACAAATTTATAAGATATTCCGTGCACTCCCCTTTTGCTCTAACAATCAAATTATAATAAGATGAAGTGTATGTCACATTAATTTACGACAAATTATTGATTATTAAAGCAAAAGAGGAATGCACGGAATATTTCACAGATTTATTTAATCGATTGCAAGTGTCACCTTATAGATATAACTTTTTATTTCAACGTATTTCCCAAGAATTTTTGGCATGCATTTTCTCGCTTCTGACCTCATTAAAAAGAGATAGATAATTCTAGGGGCCAGAAGCCTTAAGAGAATGTCAAGTAAGAAGAACTGCAAATGAAAAGTCTCGAGTGTGAAACTCGACGAGCAAATCGAGAGTTCGTGCATGCACGTAATCGTGTTCGACTATCAGTTCTCAAAATTATCAGGTGTCGTAGAAAATATGTTAGATGTAGGCCACGTATCTGTACACAGGCCATACTACTTGACTTATTAATTTAACCGATAATCAATGTCCAGCTATTTGTCAAGCAGAATCTGTAATAAACACGTGTGTGTGCAAAAAAAAGCAAGAGATAATGGGACATCGTATCGCGTAACATGTAATTGCTGGATGTTTACTAAATTCAATTATCTCAATGGGAACGGCGATAATCGCCACGTAATAAACGAAACCGACGCAGGCGCGCAGAGAGTGTCGCAGAGAAAAAGATTCGCAGGGAATTCTGTCGGTGGCAGAATTCGACCGAGATCGATTGTCGTTGTCGTTAGTCGCAGGCTACGAACCGAAATTTATCGAGAGATGGAAGGACTCCGCACTGTCGCTTATGCACTTGTAATCTCCATCGTGATTCTCCGTTGCTTGGGACGCCGAGAGCTTACTGCTGCTAGAGCCACTCTTTGAGAGAACGACCAGCTGACCGCTGGACAGCTCGGGTTCCAACGTCTGGCCGTTTCTGGTCCATCTAATGAGATCATCGTCCTTCAAGTCGTTGCACTCGATACTCCAAGGATGACCCTCGTGCACGGTCGGCAGCCCCGAATACGTCACTTTTATCAAACAAGAAGACAGAGTTGAGAGAAGATAGAGTTTGTGAGAGTATCAAAGAGCGAGAGCGAACGAGCGAGCGAGCGAGCGAGAGAAAGAGAGAGAGAGATACTACGATAAGGATCGATATTGTTCCACCCTTAATCTAATTAAGCTAATCAACTTAGTGGTCATTATATTAATTTCTTGTTGGAGGCAAGATTCGAGATAAAAGCAGGGAGTAACGATACACTTGAGATTTATGGGTTAATAATGTCGAACAACTAGAAATATTCTCTGAAAGAAATCGCGCTCGAGTAACATTCTACCAAGCGATTGTCGCGACGTGCTGTTCATACAACGACATAATTTGTTATCGTTCACAGAACTCGAGCTTCCAGCTTTCGACATGTTTCAAGGAAAATTCAATTCGCGGTTATCTCCGTGCTTTACAGTCACGTAAAGCATACTAGTGTTCGCATAAATGGATAACCTTGGTTAAGGCGATCTTCGAAAATGCTTCGCAAAGTTGAGCTAATAGTCAAGGTGATGGATGTTTTGCGCTCTTATCAAATAAGTGCGCTGGTATAAGTGCGCAAATAAGTACACTATGTGTCATTAACTTCCGCAATTTCAGATATACATTATATGTTTCAACAGTAGGTGTAGCTTGCATGTTACGCAACTCTCCTTCATTCCGTCTGAAGTAAAAGTCAACTGTCCCACCATGCTTCTCGATTAAACGAAATAATTTAGTCAGAATTGCATGATTCACGCGACAGCTGCATACGACTGATCGATTTTGAACGCGACAATGAGGACTTGGGTGGCGGATCTCGCGAATAATTTGAATATCAATCATGCTCGAGGAGCGCGTGTTTACGCATGTTTACGTCAGCATGGTCAATAAAAAGTTCTTCCACTCTTACGTCATCGGTCGGCAGAGTGTGGGTGACCACACAAACAGAATATCGACCTCCTCGTGCACGATCAGACGGCAGTCTCCTAAGAAGTCTTCATAGAGCAATAGGCCGGAATTCTTCCGCGAGAAACAATTAACGCTAATCCAGCTCAGTGCCTCCAACGGTTCAAGACGGTCATAATTACTTCCAGCGGTTTCTCTTTTTGACTTCTTCGGTGGTGATTCAAAATTACTGCGCGTTCCCTTCGGAAAGCGGTTCCTTTTTTAAGTAAGCATATCTGTAGAGAGACTTCCTTTTTCCCTTTATTACTCCTTTTATTTCAAAGAAAATAAATTTTGGAGATTAAATACTATTAACTCCTTGAATATATACCCAAAAACGTTCGTAGTAAAATATTAAATTCTTCTTGATTTATTTAAATCATTGTATTTTTTTAATATAAAACAAGTACAGAGGAAAATTATTAATTTCTCAAGATTTCTTACTGCTATTTTCTTTGAAAACACGTGCGCAAGGAGAATTAGCCTTAACCCGCAAATTGCTGCGGATATTTTCAAAGAAAATAACAATAAAGAATTCTGAAAAACAGAATATATCTCACTGTCATTCGTATTTGTTATATAAGTTAAAAAACTAGTTTAACCCTCTGCTGCCCAAATTAATTTATCACGTTTATAACATTTTTTATGTACATGGAATATTTGTAACTAAAGTACTCGACACATATAAAATGAAATTTTACTTTTCTAATTTTTTCTTTCCCAAAATACTTTGTGACTCTGAAGTCATGTTAGGCAGTTACTATTGCCGCCAATATACTGAAAAAAGGCAGCCATATTATGACTCTCACATCACACTGATTAAGACAGGAACAATATTCATGTTGGAGATAAATAATGATGACTGAATTGTGACTTCAGAGTCACACAGTGAGAGTCGAAGGTTAAATAAATCAAAAGAAATTTAATATTTTACCATGAAACTTCTTTACACGTTAAATAATAACGATTTTCAGAACTCTTTATTGCTATTTTCTTTGAAAATATCCGCAGCAATTTGCGAGTTAAGGCTAATATATCCTCGTTGCGCACGTTGTGTTTTCAAAGAAAATAGCAGTAAGAAATGTTGAGAAATTAATAATTTACCTCTGTATTTGTTTTGAATTAAAAAAATACAATGGTTTAAGTAAATCAAGAGGAATTTAATATCATTTTTTAACGTGCATTTTTTTTAAATTACTTTTGTTCGTTAACGTGGAACGAATTAACATTAATTTTCCACAAAAATTGCTTCCTCGCCACGTGAATCCATTTTCCCATTCGTCGGAACGATTACACCTAATCACGCGATTGTCAGAAAACGCGTGAGTGTATCTTACCAAAAATATACACAAATAGTGAGAGCTGCGTGGCACGAACGAACGGTTTATATAAACTCTCCTCTCGACAGCAGTTCTGCGTGTTGATGACAAGTCAGCAGAATTACCGATATGATGACGTACGCGCATGTGAGCGTGTGTTGGTTACGCGTATGTCACGGCGGCTACACACAATGACGGTAGTAACAAAGTTGCGGCATGGAATGCCGGCCAAAATGTGAGTCACAGAACGCGAATCATTATTCGAGTCGCGAGAGGGACAGCTCGGCAGGAGAACCGAAGTCTTCATGGCGTTATTACTGCTGATTGCGGAGAACGAATATCGTGCAAAACAAGACGTACTTCCGCGACCGAATTGCGAGTTGGCGGTAATAACTGACGCCTGATAAAAGGGCCGCACGTTGAACGGAGACTCGCAGGAGTGAATAACTCATTCACGGCGTTAACGTAACCCAATTAACGCGTAATCCTTTAATTCCGCCTCTCTCATTCTTATTCCGATATTCGAGTAACAGACAACTGGAACGATGATTTGAACATCACTGGATCTTCGTGGTGAAAAGAGTACGCTGTTTTGTCGCGGAATACGCGAGTCCCTCACCTTTCGATAACCTTGGTCAACAGGTTTTTGTCACGTGGTATTTCTGGCTTGTCTCTCTTACGCACGGAGAAAAATAATTTTGCTCTTTTAGTAAAATCGTCCTTGTTACTGCATATTCGTAGTGACATCAAAAAAATTTAGTTGACGTAACTAATTTTACAAATTATTCGTTATCAGAGCAGAAGTAGTTTCGTTGCCAGGATAGAAGAAATTTGTTGAGTGTATTTGTTCTAAGAATCATGTTAATTTGCTACTGATGCAAAATAATGTATCCTTAGCAAATTTATTTAAATATTAAACTGCAACTGCTTATATAAATCATGGTTCTTATAGCAAAATAATTTGTAGATTCAGCAAATTATATCCAGTAGATAGTGATTAGTACTCTTAGCAAATCTTTTTGTTGTCCATATAATAACAAAAAAATTTTGTTAGACCAGCAGAAAATTTGCTGGGCCAGCAAATTATTTTTCTTTGTATCTTTAAGAATTTCTCCGTCACTCAGTTCTTTTCGCGACGGTCATCTAAGACTTAATGCATTGCATATGAAACATTTTGCGCAATTCGTAATTAAATTCTAAATTTTTCTAAATTTAAATTCTAAATTAATTGAAATGCTATCAATATTAAGTATCTTCTATAAAAAGTTCCTCTGTTTAAGCGGCATGTTTATGTACCATCAATCAGAACATATTAACTGTTACTAGTTAGAATATCTTCAAAGTCAAAAACAAAGTTAACAGATTTTTGTGTGGATATTCTATATAATTTTAAATTAAAAAAAGCGTCTTATGGCACTTTTTTCTGAGTAATTTCAAAGATCTGAAGATTAACTTTGATTTTTGCCTTGAAGATATCCCAAATGACTTTTCTCCAATCAGGAACAAGATATAATAAAAACTGATATAAAATATTTTTATTTTTGTTTTTTTGAAAAGAGATACGCTACTAAATACGACAGCTAAATACAACAGAAAACCACTAGCTTCTACAGTTTAAATTAAATATATCATGCTTATCAGGCGCACGATATGATAAAAACTGACATAACTGATATAACTGATTTTTTATTTTTCAAGCAGACATACTATAGCCAGACATAGCAGAAAATAATTAGCTTTTGTATTTTAAATTAAATAAGCTATGTCTATGTGTATACAGAGTCTGACAATTATTGACCTCGACAAATTAAACAGAAAATTCCTCTATTATTTCGCAAACAATCACGTAAAATTTTGAGTCATTAATTAATCAAAGAAGATTGATCAATGATCGTTCGCGATACGGTAGATAAGCTGTGATAACAACACCTGAGAGCCTACTACGGTTCTGTATGAGAAGGGAAAAGTGAGCGAATTCACTAGATGTTGAGACCAATGAGATTATAAATATTCTAATAAATTCGCTCACTTTTCGTATTTTCACTTCTCAGAACCGTAATAGGCCTCGTGTATGTAGGTTAAATCAAACTGGACAAAGAAGTCCTCTATCATTTTGCAAATGGCTACGTAGATTTTAGTTATTAGTTAAAAATATCGATGCTCTATCGGGCACAATCATATGTCAATTTTCTTTAATTAATAATCCAAAATCTGCGTGATCATTTGCAAAATAATAGAGAACTTTTCGGTTCATTCTGAGCTAATATACAAGCCATAACAGCAGACATCGTCATCATGCCTCATCGCGCATGATTACTCAATCTTCTCTAAATCTTTTCAAAATTTTACGTGATTGTTTACGAAATAAATGAGGAATCTTTGTGTTCAGTTAGATGTTAGATGCTATTTATCTACAGAACGGATGTATCAATAATTGTCAAACTTCCCGTATAGAAAAATCGATTCTCTTAAAACTTAACGATCCCGTTCAAGTAAAATTTTTTTCTTTATAAAATATTCTCAAAAGACACTTCTGATGAAGAGTCCTGTAGTCCGAATAGAACTGACTAAAAAATACGATTTTCTGAATATGCATAATTATGTGCTTTCATGTTTATTTGCTTACAAATTTGCTATAGAATTTAATAAATCTTATAACCATCACAATGAACATGTAAGTCTCTTGTGTTTGTGCTTTAAGATGACACCGATAAAAAGTTAAAGGAATAAAACTCATTCT